CTCAGTTTAGCATAGGCTTATGCCTTCGAGTGTCCTCTTTCGTAATCTGAAAAGCCTGAGTCTGTAGGTCATTTCCCTCAAAAGTTATTCGAAAAACACTGGACTGCCGTGTTTTTTGAAATGGACAGTAGTAGATGTTATTGTTTTTCTACTAACCTATTGTTGCGAATGTTTTCGGTATAGCTCGTTCATGCTTCATGTCAAAAAAGAAAGTAAGTTCTTTAACGGATGTAAACTCATCTAATATTTGATTTAACGTAACTAATTCTTTGTCAGCTAATTGTAGGTCTTTAAGACTGGCAGTAGGAATTGATACACCTTAAATGAAAAAAGAAAACTATTGACACTCAAACTCCGGCGTGTTTTTAATGTTTACTACTATGATGATGTTTTTATGAATGTGTATCAATAAGACTATTACCATTAACCACTCCATCGTGATTTAATACTAAATGCTCATCTTGCGTTTGCCATATATCAATTTCTAAAATATTTGTTTTGGCTTCGTATACAGCTTTACAATAAGTGGCATGCGTATTTTCTCGCCCCCAATGACGACCGCCTCGATGAGATCCATGTGCACTGTGAGTCAATGGTAACCAACCAAATACGGGAAAACGAGTCGATAACTTACTGACTAACATTTGAGTGTTAGCTGAAAATAAACAAATTAATGTACAAACAAGGTAAACATCTTATTTTGACCTAGATCAGAGAAAAGAAGCAGCGCGTGGAATCAATGTGTCTGTTCAGAGAATATATTCATTAACACAGAGTATAAAGGACCCTTACCATAGCGCCGCAGGACAATAGAAGGTGGCTCTCCAGTTTTTCAGTGTTTACTAAGAAACCAACTATTGCTCCTACGTTACTCTTATCACGAAGTATTTACTCCCATTTTGGAAAGTTAGACGAACTCCTTTTAAATTTAGCCCGAATTTTCAAGAACCTCGCCTCTCGTTGCTTTAGTCATTTTACAACACGACCTTAACGAAATTAAATGTATACATTTTGAATTTATACTGCTTTTTTGTAAGTTTTTTTGCAGGTATGTAGAAACTACATCGTTATATCGTTTCAAACTTGAGTTCTAGTGTTTTCTGACGTTTTGTATAGCATACCCGTTCAATTTGTTCTTGTTTCTCTCCTCACTTTTATTCGATATTTGCTGTGTGATTTTTACTTTTTAGCTGTCTGAGCTTGATCTCATTAAAAGAAGGGATAAAATACAATCTTTATAGTAATTTGACTTAACCGTTATGAGATTTTTAAATCTTAGTTTTGAAAATCAGCGTATAAATATACGCTTTTGACTCCGAAGAATATACTATTACATAAACCCTAATCGGGATACGATTGTAGACTTTGAGGACGATTTTTAATAGCTTTTTTCATTTTACTCAACAGCATCATACTTCATGGTAATGTGAAAACATACGAATAAAAAGAACCAATGTGGCACCGGTGCGTAGTTGAATGAACTTGCCTCGTGATTTAAAGCAGTGTTTTGAATGAGAAGTTAGAGTAGAGCGGATTTCTTCAGTTTTTCACTGCGGTTTCCACGTTTATCCTGCTGAAAACAGAATAGAAGCCAACTTTTTTTCAAAGCCAAAATCCATTTCGCGTAAAGCGTGGATTATTAGACAAGCTGATTTAGAGATTGCACCGAACCTGATAAATAATCAATTAGATAAAAAATGTCTGATATAAAAATATTTTGATTGGTATTAATGACTTATTAGATAATTTGATAAATTATTGCTTCGTTTTCTAAATACTTTATTTACAGATGAGAGCCACTCTTGATGATATAAAATTAAGTCGGCCATGTCGAATTTTGACAGATGGGTGATACATCACCTATTGGTTGATTTCTTTATTTTATTCATAAATTGTCATATCAAAATGCAGATGTCGCAAAAATATCGATGATGCAGTGAGCCACTAATCAAATGATATCCGCGTCCTCATCAACAAATTTTTCTCTTTTTCTCTCTTAACGTCAGCGAAAGAAAAAATATTATAGCTTTTAACGTATTTGCTAAAGAAATTTGTTATACTTTGCTTGCAGGTATAGTCGCAACCCTAGCGAACGTACTCATGAGTACTGTTCATCTGGTATTTTCGTATAGAGGAGTGATCCCAGGCAGCCAAAATTGGACTACAAGTCTATTCACAGACGAGTCCATCTTTGACTATATACAGAAAGACCAGGGAGAAAAATATCATATAAATATGTTTCTTTACTAAATTCTGCATTCTTTATACAGTTTCATTTTTGCAAAACAAAATGGTGAATGAATATTTTCTGAGTACTTACTAAGTAAAAATACTCAAAAAGGTGTTAGTAGAGCTCAAATGAGTAGTCATGAATGAATTATGAGTAAAGTCGTACTCATAGTATGAGTACTTTCACTAGGGAAAGTTTATTTGCAAAACATGGAATGTTTTTTGCATGCAAACAAACTGCTCTTACATTGCTTTCATTTGAGGATATTGTAAGGAAGTTTATCTGACATAGCCAAAATGGGATATAAAACAAAATAAAGGAGCCAAATTTAAAATACTCAAATATCATAGGTACTGTTTTGTCACATCTAATTAGTCTTTTAGTTGCATCATCTTCAACGAATGTCGGTCACGTGTTTTCGAGACAAACGCCACTCGGACATTTGTCTTCCCGAGTTGGTCCTCTCGAAGGACATCGGCTACTCGGAGAAAAGCTACCCAGACTTTTGCTTACCTAAGACAATTGCTCTTATAGGACTTTTGCTCTTTTAGAAGTTTTGCTTTT